CAAAACCCCAAAACCCCAAAACCCCAAAACCCCACTATAGTTTATTATCATGTATTTATGATAGTGAGTGACTAAGAAATTAAATTAAGATTTAAATGACAGATTTCTAGTCTAAGTATGCTTTCGCATTTGACGACAGTGATGACGATAACACAGCTTTTAATCTCAACCAGGTCAATTAAAGCAGTGGATAATCCTCAAATCAGGCAAACTTGCAGGAAAGCAAGGTTGCCAGCTAAAGCTCAAATCAATAGGTTGCTGGAATCATTAGCTGGGGAGATGAGTAATAGACAGATTCAAATTTATTCAATAATTCAGCTAATTTGATAGTCCAGTCCTAAGATATCTAGGAAAAATCTCTTTAGGAAAATCACCTAGCTGATATTCATAAATCAAACAATCAAGCTGACCTTACTTCTAGTTACCAATTAGTTGATTAGCATGAAGATCTAGCCTAGAACGCAAATGATGAGTAATTTTAGGTATACAGATTCTAAGATGAGTAAGACCAATCCTAATAAATACAAATCAACTCTCATTAGTAGCACTAAAATCTAAACTCAAGTATCTAATTCTAAGAGACTAATTAGGATGAAAGCACAAATATGAATGTCAATTTCTAGAGTGACCTTCAGATTTAGCAAGATTATTTCGATCAAAGTAACTCAAGTAGCGTTTAGAGAGATAGTTAATATGTGAATATATCTCCATAAAATGATAATTAAGTACAGTCAGACACCCAATCTCTGGAATAAGAACAGCATGACTCTTAGCAGTTCAAGTTCAACAGCTCTAGTGTCCCATCAATAGATTAGAGCTCTAATTAAAATCTTAGCTAATCAAATCAACAGCAATTGGCATAGGAAAATAGCAGTTTTAATAACTAGAGTGACTAATCTTCATCCTAGACTTCAAAATAATGGTAAAACATAAAGCAGTTCAAAGCTCCAATCAATAACTTTTTCTAAGAGCTATTATCAGACTCAGATAGTGATGATGGGGCTGGATTAGACTTTAATTTCTTAAAGCCAGTGTAAAACCTCAAATAAAGCTAGCCATAAGCAATAATCTAAAATGCACAATAATTTGAATAGCCATTCCATTAAAATCAAAGCTAATCTATCCAATAGAATCTGATAACAACTAGCAATCAGAGTGAAGTCTAAATACAATCAGCTTAGCAATAAAATTAACTTGATGACTATTAAACTATTCTAAATCAGCCTTAGACAGATGTTAGTGAAGAGAGAGAGATAGTAGAAGTACCTTAGGAAATTCAGCAAGAACTTGATGAATATGATGAATAGCAGAGAAATAATCATCCAGAGTAGCATCTCTATCATCGTGAATAGTTTTATCAGTATCAAGACTCATCGAAGATCACCTAAGTTCTTGTCCTTGATCACGATGACTAATAAAATGAGGGCTAGTAAAAGGCCTAGGAATAGAATAACTAGCAAGAGCAATTACAAGTGATTGAGGAATAGCAGTAGCCACAAATTGATGATTAATCCAGTCAAATTCTAGAGGGATCAGATAGTCACTAAGCTATCCTTTAATCAAGTATTGACGAATATGCCTTACTTCAAAAGTATCAGCATCCAATTGTTGCAGTAGAAGAAATAAAATTTGAAGAGCAGGTGACTGATGCATTTGCCAATAATTAATTAACAGAATCTGAGGTAAATCAAGTAGAAGAGATCAAAGTATATAACTTTAACTTTGAAGATGATCAGTAAGATAATCTACTACAACTTTCATCAGGCAAGCAAGAGGCTTTCAATTTCTTCAATCAGCAGCATACTTAACCACATCAAGAGTTCGTGTTAAAATAAGAGAATAAAGTGTAAACTCATATTACAAAAGTTACTCAAGTACAGCAACAACCATTCTCTTAAACTCATCAATAAACAATAAATTAAGATTGGAAACTAGCTTAAGAGATAATTCATAATGAATAGTAAGTTCACTCAGACATTCAAAGTCATTTCTTTCAACAAGATATGCACCTATAGAGAGATTAGGAACTGATCTAATAACTTGATTTACTTCAGCAAAATTAGATTTAAAATGAATTAGAGACCACAACACCTCACAAAACTTAATTTATTGAATAACTACCAAAAATATCGAATAACTAAAATGCTTAGGAGTCTGTAAACTAGGAAGAGCAAGATTAACTGCTATTTGAGATATTTGGAGAAATTGTTCATGAAAATCCTTTGTTCACTAATTAATTGAGAACAACAATTTCTAATAAAATTGATCAATATCTTCAGAAAAATCATTACTTGACCAAGATCTAAAGAAGTGTTTGGGAGTTATTGCAATTTTCTATCAATTAGGTTAATAGTGGGCTAGGTAAAACAAGTAGTGGATCTCTACTTCCATATTTCTTAGAGACATCTAGCCCTTTTATGTCTGGCTAGAGAAATCTCATAATCGAGTAGTTGATTGATGGTGCTAATCTATCATAATTTATGGAACCTATTTTCTAAAGACAGACTGATCATTAATAAAACAGGGAAATGAATAAGGCTGATGATAGGATTTTTGACAACGAAAAAGGCATGTAATTTGAAAGTATCGCAAGGCTCTTACTGAGTTAGAGCAAGGATATAGACGCATTAGTCATTACTGCTATATTTTGCAATCCTAAGGACAGGAATCAGATTCTTGGTGATTACATTATCAGAGAATTTAAGCCAGACCATCCATTATTTGTACTAATGCTAATTCTTACAGACTCTGTAACTTTAAAAATTAAAAATATTAATTTTATGTAGTGGAGAAGAATATTCTAAGAAGAGAGCATTCTAGAGAGAGTTAGTCAAACGTGGAAACTTCACATGTCAGTTATTCTCAAGAATATTGACTTATTCCCAGGTGTCAATCTACAGATTAATAATTTCCTTACTGAATTATCCTAGCACATTTTACTAAAAGAAGTAATCATTAAGTACTAATGTGATATTTTTAGGATGTTTACGGGTATCTATATATGAGGATTCTATTAGGGAACTTGTAGATTTATGATATCTAGGAAAATGAAAAACTAATGAGTGATCTAAGTGTCAATTACATTTACAACATTCTAGAAAATCTTAATCCAAAGAGTGAAGAATCTTCAAGGAAAAAAGTACTAATGGCTTACTATAGAAGCAAAGTTTACAAAAATCTTGATTATGCTTCGCAAGCTTTAGAGGATTAAATAAATCTAGTAGCAAGATTCGGCCATTATCTCGAACCAAGAATTAGAGAGACTTAGCATTTCTAAGATTTAATGGATAGTTTCTATTAATTAAATAATAACTCAGACAGGAATAGTGCCTCTGGGTCAGGCTAAAACTCACTTAATCAATCTATGAGCCAAGCAGTCTTTAGGAATAGCAGTTCTAGTGACCAGAAAATAGGGGACTAGCTTGCTTAAGGCACTTAAGGTTTAATTACTGGCTTCAAGGGTTTCTTTAAGAAAGTAATGGACTAAGCAACTACTATTTAATAAACAATTATCAATGAAATCAACACTCCAGATAACCAGTCTAGTCAAAGTATCAAGAGTGCAGAATCCCTTCTAAGACCACAAACTGACTCCTAGTCAATGTTTAGCCAATAATAGATCAATATCAATTAGAACTATCCTCTGAGTTCAAACTATCTTGACATGATAGACTCAGATCGTAATTCTGAACACAGCTCTAACAAAAGTTAGCCAAATAATATCGATAATGCAGTAAATTTCATTAATCACCAGTCATAACTTGAAAGTACTCTAACATAAGTTTAAACTGATTTAAACACGAGTATTATTAAAGACTCATATTCCCCTTAGAATTAAGCCTAAAATTAAGCAAATAACTTAAAAAATGGCTTTTAAATACCTTAGCAGATATAACCCAGATTCTAGGCACCTGTGAGAGCAAGACCAAACATGCCCTAAAGATTTATTACGCCAGTTTACAGACCTCCAGTTCAAATTTAGGCTCAGCAAAATTTGCAAAGAAACATCCAAAGTGACTAATTTAATCAAGCAAGCTAATCAACTTTAAAGTAAACTTAATAGGTTGAGGTTTTAAGTCAAGACAATCAGGCTTCTATTCCTCCTCCATAAGGTTAAATTAATCCATTTGGAATGGTGCCAAGACCAGGTCCAGGAGGTATGCAAAGAGCAGCTCAAAGAGGTAAACCTCAATATGCTAGTTTACTTCATCATAATGAAGATTAACAAAAATAAGCAGCATATGATTTGAACATAAACTCAAATAACTACTGATGAACAAATAGATTGGGAGATTCGAATCGATAAAATTTTTGATAATCCTTTAAGGTACAAATTTCTTAGAAAATTATTCAATATCTATCTGCTTGTCTATAAAACACTATTTTTACTTTATGGGGTTTTGGGGTTTTGGGGTTTTGGGGTTTTGGGG